CCATGAATCTGTTTGTTAAGAGTGTACCTGGAGTGTGTTCCAGAATCCCTCTTCAAAACTAAGAGTTGAGGAAGTGAAAATGATGACAGGTGTTTGGTGCTCAGCCAGAGACAGAGCCAAACAACCACATCCAAGTAAAACATATGCCCAGCTGTGAAAGAATCTACCCCTGGTTATCATCAGTACTGGAAGTGCAGGAAGCAAACAGAGCTTAAGTGTTGCCTTATGTGAGTTGTCTGAGTGCTAGTGCTTTAGCAGGGCTCACAACTCATTCCTCTAACTATTTTTAGGGTTTCCCTGSCCCGACAGCTTCTGACAGTGGAGTTGTAAAACTGATTTCCAGTCCAGGGAGACATGAGTTGTTGAACTATGCAGTGGTGAATTTCTAGAGTCATATGGCTTGCATGTTTATGTTATAAGTGCATTGTAAACCAATAAGAATTGGATTAAGCCCTTAATGCTCTCAGAAGAAAGCACTGAGTGGCATTAACCTAGCAGGAATAATGGACTAAAATACTGACCRATCACTGTTTGGGGAGTAAAGGTGTTTACATGTTCTTTATATGTTGACTTTTTGTTTGTTTGTCTTAACATATTTATAAAAAGTCTGAGGTTTATTCTGAAGCTCTGACTCTAGTTCCCACAGGAGTTTCATATAGGATAAGAGGATAGGACTCTTGATATTCGAGCACTTTAAGACTTACAAATAATAGTAAGTATCCGAAAATGCTTGTTCTGGAAGCCATGCTATTTCATGTGATCGAACGTGACGCAGTTCAGGTTCTGTGTCCAGTTGCACTGCTTGCTGTCTGTTCATTTGACAAGACTCTACAACATTTAAAGGGTTTCTTCCTCGTTACAGCTGTTCTTCATTTACAGCAATTCCCTCATGGGCCAACATTAAATATAGATCCTCTCYTTTGCCCTACTATGGTATTATTGTCCCATTTGTGTCACTGTGTAGAAGTCTGGCACAGAATGAGAGCTGGTCTAGTCCTGCAGTTTTTATTTAGTTGTTTCCCAATCATAAAGACAGTGTGAAATTTACTTTTTCCACAGAATATGTGGCAAATGCCAGATAAAGGATGGTTTCAGTCAAGAGTTTAAGCTGTTTTTTAGTCTTATGTATCTTGTGTTGTAATGAAAAGTGCATCTTGTAAATTTTCATATGAATTGCACTCTGAAGACAGGATCCTGCTGAGTATCCTCAACATTGCAATCCCTGGTGGGAGTTAGAGACTGCAATTCACAGGATTGGAAAATTATGGTTTAGTAGTAAAGGCAGACTGAGATCAGCTCTGGAGACTATTGTTAATAGATGACTAAATATTGAGAAGTGAGAGAAGTCTCACCACTGTGTAAGTACAGCAGTGACAGGCAAGGAACATGTTGGGCTTGAGGCTCAATGTCTAACTCAATGTTAGACTCAATGTCTAACGATTGACCAGGTAGCGAAGAAATCCAGGCTCGTTTCCATGTGCTAAATAACTGTGCATTGGCATTGAAAATAGGGAAGCGTGACTGACTCACTAGTGAGGCCTCACCTTCTATACCACTGCCAAAGTCCTCAGCAAAATCTCCCTCGCTTTGTGTAGCAGCAGACTGTAAATGTTCTCTGCACTCGGTATTTTCAGCCTGTGATTGAAGGCTCTGCTTTTGCAGACTTGCTTTTGGACCTAAGGTCCATCGGTGACCTCACCAGAGAAACACCTGGAATGAAAACCACCCAGAGTTTGTGTCCTGGGTTACCAGCACTCATTCTAAYAAGGAATCTATCGTTTTAAGCTAGAGCAAATCCTATCCTTAACAGTAAATAYAGCAGTGACATGTGGTAACGCTAGAGTTCTCGCTTGCCAGGCCCAATGCTGACGYTGAATTTAACTCTTTCAATCTGTCTCATACCAGTGTTACTGTTAGGTTGGACTGAACAGCAGGTGGTGTTGGATTCAGTTTAATGTTCAGTCCTGCAGTATCAATGTTTTCGGCATTTGGGCTGYGATAGGCAGGATCTCATGACTTCTGCTTAAATTAGGAGTTGTGTTGGGTAATAATTGCAACCATGTTTTGGGTTGGGTTTGATTTAGGACTGGTGAACTTGACCAACTTGTTTTAGGACTGGTTTCTGCAAAGGTGAGAGCTGATAGAGACACAGCCAAATGCCCTTCAGTTAATTGTAGTCCTGGTCTTCATCACAGTGCTTAGGATGTGTCCTCAGGAACAGCGGGTATGAAGGTTATGTTTACTGCTAACATCTAGAAGGCTTGTAGGGCTACAGTTAGCAGGATTTAATGTTTAGTTTATCAGCTTATCTGTGTGATTGTTGTATTGCAAGAATCTCAAACTGAAGTTGGAGTTAGGGCTGGGCCTCAGAAGAGGAGCAGCTGAAGAACTTATTTTACTCCTGCATATTTTCAAGAAGGCTCTTGCAGGAGGAAGGCTTCTGGCTAGAGTACCATATATAACTCACGGTATGTTTTGGTTCATGTCTGCGGATTCGTTTAAAGCCCACATCTCTATGGAGAGCTGTTGTGGTTTAGTCTGCATCTGAGCTGAGAACTAGCTGGTTCGGGTGCTCATATTTGTCATGGGTCACATACTAAGCTAAGACCTGCTGAAATGAGAGTTTGAGATGGGAGGGATTGATGTGTGTTCTCCAAGGCTGTAGAGCTATGTTGAACGCTGACTCCTGCTGCTTTTGGAGGCTAATACTTAGTTTTGGTGCTGCTTTTTTTTTCCACTGAGCTCTGCTTGATGTGAGGTTTGGGGATGAATCTCTACTGCTTTTCTCTTGAAGACTTGGAGACAGTATTTCATGGCAGTTCCTGCAAATGACTGGGCCTTGGGCTTGGAAACATATATCCTTTATCTCCCGTTAGCTGTAGATTTGCCTCTGATGGATATGGCCCACTGTTTTTAAAGCCCCTATTTTTATAAAAAGGCCCTATTTTTTTTTATTTCAAAGCCTCTATTTTTTTGTAGTGTTACATCTCATTTGATCAGACTAGATAGCTGTGATATTCTTTGGAAAGAAAGAACTTTTATCACATCCAGTAAAACATCTTTTTTTGCCAGTTTTATAYATGGTTTATAGTTGTCCTCAGTTGCTTTCTTTAACAGCAGCAATGTTGCTGTTAGCTAACTCTGACAGCAATGCACAAAACAAAGTCTTTTGAGTTCCTTTTTCTGGTTGTTCCTTTATGCTGTAAAATAGTCTATAACAGTGGTGGCCCTCAAAGTCCCAAAATTACAATTCTACTTAGAATGATTTCATATTGATGTCTCTTGAGACTAGACTTTCAAAGGTTACCTGCCACTTGTGTATGCAACATTTCATGAAATTCAAGAGGACGGAAGTCATCAAAGGAACTCACTGAGCAGAAATAAAACACTTAAATTTTTCAAGTTGTAAACCTCTCCTCAATTGAATTTCAAATTTTGATTTTCTGCTTAAGTTAGAGAGGGGTCTCTCCCACAACTTGGGTTGAGGAATATCCAAATTGAGGTTTAGCAGTTAGTGTGCCTTGCAGGAAGAATAACAGAATTACTAAGGTACTTCAGTACGGTACTGTGCATGGTCTAATTTGTTCTGTTTGAATTCTTTAAATACTCAGTGCAGATTATAAATGTTTCTGGAAGAAGATAGAGGTCCGTATTTCGGAAATAGAAAGGTATTAACCGTTAATAGTCTTCTTCTCTGACAGTCTCAATCCAGGTGCTCACTGGATGAAAGGGGACATACTGAGAGAGTCTTTGGTAGATAAAGTGCTTTGTGGAGCTCCAGGATGTTTCAGGATTAATTAAGAAATTTCCGTCACATTTTAAAATAAAAGCTGCAACTCTGATAGAACTTGTTCAAAAGTTCGCAGGGGTCTTTGGCAGAAGATGCAATGTCCATATGGGTAAATGAAGTAGGACCCATTACTTGTGTATACTAGAGAATATTTGCAATACAGAAGAAATCAGTTGCAAAGACAAACCAACTATACCAGCTTAACAGAGGCTGATTTCAGCAGAGAGGATGTTCAGAAATGTCACATTACGCATTTAGGACTAGTTGAGGAACTGCTAAGCAGATCTTGTTCCCAAGCAAACCATGACCAGCGTGTGAATTGCTCAAGTTGTAATTAGGAAGGAATAATCCCTGTCTGGCTGATTGTATCCTAGACAGGCCATGCTTTCCTCCCCCTTGCAACTGCAGGAGGAAGGACGAAGCTACCTAGTACACTGGGTTTGTTTGTTTATTTGTTTTTGTTTTCTCTTGCCAGTGAAATCAGAAAAGTGGTTTCTAATTATTCATGTATAGACACAGACATAAGTGTAGATAAAGCTGGCAATAGGGTTGTATGTTTTTAACTTGAGGGAGAATTCCTCTAACACCTGTTTGCAAATGGACAAAGCCCTTGGACCCTGGGCAAACTGCAGGGTGACTCTTTGGACCTGCCTTTGCTCCCACTGAGTAAGTGTCTTGAGATAATGTTGCTTCCAGGAGAAGGAGCGTGCAGTAGAACTGCTCTGATGCTGCTCAGAGGGACTGGATTTGTAACTAGCGAGTTAATGCGGCTGTTATACCTACAGCCCCATAGCATTAATGAGTAAAGTGGTTAACATCCTGTAAAGTTTGATCTGCTGGTCATCCCAGTATGCTGGTTAGTTTGAGTTTGAAATGCGAGCTCATCTTAAAATTAAGTTTATTTTAGCTGAGAGTATTTATAGGTGATCAGAAATAGGGCCAGGAGAGAGACTCAGGCAGTTGCTTAAACTCACATGGCAATGAAGACAAGTCTTGGGGTTGATAAAGGTGTTTGTCAGCACTCCTGCCTTTTGTCCATTGCAGTAGTGGGGTGAAGGTTCCCCTTTACCGTCATCTTCCCTCTCCATCCCCAACAAGAACAACAACAACAACAACAACAACAACAAAGGTCTTCTACAGGGAGAAAACAGAAAAGCAAAGTGACTAATAGCAGTTTTTCTCACTTCCAGTTGTCTTTGCAGGAGATACAGCCTTTTGGAGAGAATAGAAAAATAAGAATAGAAACTGGAGTCATTCACAGTGGTGAGGTAACTTTTATATTTCTCTTTATAAACCATTATATGATTTACATGTGACCAAGCAAGCTTGGAAACTCTTTTACAACTGAGTTTGTCGTTACTGAGCTGTCTTGCAAAAGCCGATCACGATGTCAAGTGCTACAGTGACTACAGGAAAAAATGACAAATGCATCAATTGAAAAAGTAGTTCTTTCTAAATGCCTTACTTTGACTTTTTATGAAGACACAAGGGGTTAGTGGATAACTACTTCCTTTCACATTGTGCACGTGTGTGGTGGATACTAATTGTGAAGGTACTTCTGCTTTTTTCAAATATGTTCCAGCAGTGCAACAAGTCAGGAACTTGAGGGGCTTCTTTCACCATAGTAGCACAGCCTATTTGAACACCTTGAATATGGCTTTGATTTGTATCTTGCCTGTGGACCGCAAATTTCACCACTCTGGATAAACTTCCTTGTTTTAGCTTCTGTGTCATAAATTTAATCAGCTCTTACTATACGGTCCTACTGTGTACCCCCACCCCCCCATCTTTTTTTGATTGTGCGAATTGTGTATTGCAACTGAAAATTGTGGTGACCAGATATTCTGAGATCATCTTCTGCAGAGTAGAGTCCAAGGTGGTGTTCAGAGGTGGGCTAATGGAAATGGAAATATCTATAGACTGATAGAAAAATCAATTAGATGTGGCAGTGAAGTAAAATGCTAAGAAAGTGGGTCTTTTTAATCATCATAGTCTGAAGTGGCCTGAATGCAGTGGCTTTAGTTACTTCGTTTTGGAAAAAAAACAGTAGTATAAACATTATCAAGACTTTTTTTTGCTGTTGCATATAAAAGTAGCCAGTCTCTCTCTGCCAAACATACATATTAGCAAACACAGGCTGCAGCCTGCTGCTATCCCTAGTAGAGGGCTAATGAACACATTCTTTTGTATAGTTGTAACAGAGATGGCCATTTTTCAAAGGTCCTTAAGGCTGTTTATTTGTAACTTTAGACATCTGAAACAATATAGGGTTAATTTCTAGTTTAACACTTTAAATTCAGTAGCTATGAACTGTGTAGCTTCCTCAAAGAACCAAAGATGCAGATGCCCAAAGTGATTCTTACACATCTGCAGATACAGTGTGCCAAGAATGTGATGAAATATCGCTTGTCTGACTATGACCYCTATTTACTACAACTAAATGAATCCTCCAGTTGGTTTTTGACCAGACCTTGAGCTGTCAGAAGCAGATGGCCTGCCTAGAGTGCAGGATCCTTGGAAGCACTCATCAGGCATGTTACATAGCACAGGAATTTTTCAGAAGAGCGGTGCTGGCTTTCAACCTTCTCAGTGAAACAATGGTAATTTGTCAGCTGTACTTGGTCTTCTGTGTCAGAATAATAGTTTGTGCCTCTGAAAATAGGGAAGATCTTGCTGGCTGGTTAGCTAAGGGCTAAATTTGTGAACTGTCTCGTGTCCCTAAGTGGCCAGTATTAGGTAGGTCAGTAGAGTCCATAGATTGATAAAGGACTGTCCTTGCAGGAAACCTTGTGCTGGTTGTCATTGGGATTAAAGGGACTGATGTGTGAAAGGGCACATAGTAACAGGGTTTGTACAACTCTGAGTAAAGACTTGGTGCTTTGCAGTGGGGCTGAGTTATAATAATGCAATCTCCTGCTGTATACACACAAGTTGTGCAGTTATCTAGTATATAGGGGGAGACTGAACCATCTTCACAATCAGCATCAGAAGAACAGGAAGTCCTATTMTGTCTTGCCGCAGTGAGGGCTGTGATGAGCATTTTGCTCCCGTCTGAGACACTTCTACTAGAGGCTTCTTTTGACTCATGGATTTTACCAATCTGTTGCAATTGTTTCTRCATGTTAAAAGTTGGATTGCAGTTTTAACTGATGTCAGGCTGCAAGCAGTGCTCTATTCTCAGTCTCGTAGTGGGATACTTAGATGTACTGCTCCCAGTTCAACCTTCAGGCATTTCCTCATCTTTCTCAATAACAATTCTTTTCCAGTTTCCCAAGTCCTTCCAAGACACCTACTATTCTTATGGCACCCACATCAAGTTCTTAATCTTAAAATGGAAGAACTACTACTCTACGTTTCTTCCAGTTAAACATTGTCCTTGAGGTAGGATAGACTTTATTTTGTATATTTTCTTTCAGAGCCTGACTCTTCTGGGTACATTGAGAGGCCTCAGAGGAGGAGTGTTCAGGACATACGTCTCTGTGTGTTGACAGTCTTGAATGAGACTCAGTGCTGCCTTTCATCCTCAGATGCTGTGAGTCAACCTGACTTAGTTTAGTCCAGTGAATGCAGTCTTTTCAGGACTTCAGGAAAGGTAGTATTTGAAAAAATGTGCTAGGAGTTTTGTGCCTCAGTTCTTAATTTTCCAGCTCAGGATCCAATGCTAAAGTGGGTACCTCTATCCTGTGGGGCTGAGGAGCAAACACCTTCGCTGAAGGCAGTGTGATGGAGTGTGTGTTCTGCTCAAATGAAGCACAAAGGTTGTAGTTTGTGCCCTGCTCAAAAGCAGGGTGTATGTGGCGATAAGGTAGTGGCTCTTTGTATCTTACCTCTAACTGCACAGGTCAGACAGTTGAAGAGGGAAAAGAGCCAAAACACTGTTTGTTTGCTATGCTCTGATTGCAGGCAAGGTGGCTAGACYGTCTGGTCTCAGCAAGTGAGCAGAATTGTTGGAAAATGTGTGATGGATAACATTCAGCTTTAGGGAACTTTATGTTRTCCCTTTTATGTTGTCAGTACTGTTGGAAACTCTGCATGTTTAAGGAAGATAGCTAATGAAGCAGAAGCTAATGTTGATCAATTAAATTGCTTCTCATACATGGGTCTTATTTTTTCATTATTGGGGAGGAAATATTGAGCAACTACAAAGCCACCTTCTCTTCAGCCAACATCCTGGGATCTGTGGATGCCAGCAGTAGAGCCACATGTTAAATGCAGGATGTAATTGCACTTCACATCTGCGAGGCCAATGCTGCAAGTTTTAGTACGTAGCTAAAATAGGGGTGTGAATTTATGGCAGTTCTGACTGCTGTGGCTTTGCTACAGAGAGAAGTCTGTCAGAATAACTACTGTGATTGCTCTTTGTCAATGAAGGTACCAGTTTTATGTAGGATTTAATAGAAAATACTCTTAAATGTTCAAAGATCAGGTGCTTAAGAATCTCCTTTGCATTTACTTGAGGTGCCCCCAGATAGAAGAGGGAAAGATATGACTGATACAGAGCCCTACTTGACAAGTCAGCACAGGGGTCAGTTGTTTCCTGACTAACCAGTTTTTTTTTACAAGCTGAACTTAACTAATCCCATGTTTTGTCATGATTTGGCCTCTGTGGCGAAGGATAACTGGCCCATAGGGAATTCAGCTTGCTTTTTGGAGAAGCTTTGTTCAGCAGAGCTTTCTGAGAAGTGTTTAAGTTGCGATGAAATAACTTTAAAAAATATTTTTCCCAAACAAAAATCTTTTTTGATTGGGAAATCCCCAGCCAGTTCTATTTATTGTCTGTCAGTTCCTACTGCTTTCAGAATGGCTAGAGAAGCTGAAGACTGAGATTGCTTAGCATGCAAACTGTGAACTGGCACAGTTTCCTGACCACCCTTATATACAGTACATGGGAGCTTTTACATGCTGTCCTAAAGATCCTAATAAACACAGATGGGAATGGAGGTTTAGCAAGTAGGGTGGTTGTGAAGCCCTCATACAAAACCTGCTTTTTCATGCATTTCTTGTCTGGAAAGTGCTAGTATCCATATTTGGTGCCCAGGAAATGTTGTTATGGTTACTCTAGTACACTGACCTTTTCAATATGTAGGACATTGCTGGAGCTTAACTTCAGGCCCTTATTCTAGAGTCTGTGGAACAAACAGTGTGTTAACTTCTCCTACAAAGAGTTGTTCAAATATTGCTTCTTACTGAGTGCAAAGTAAAGGTCTYGTAATGTGCTGCAGTGTTTATGAGCTGGAGGACTGTGGCATGCCAAAGATCACCTCCCCTGACTGGACAAACCCAGCCGAGCTGAGAAATGCATTTGCATTTATATTTCAGTGTTGTGCAGCATAACTGGTTTTACCTGTCTGGGAGAAAAATACTTTCAGAAGAAAACATCCCTCTATTTTCCTTGAAGCCTTTCTCAAAGGAGGAACAAAACATCTTCTTTTTACCTTTTGAATAAAATCAATCCATCTACTGTCCTCAYGTCATGCCCATTTCTATGACTAGTCTTTGGGATTGTCATTGCTCAGGCAAGAAGGCTGTAATTTGGTGAGGGGCTAAATCCACCTTATGCTTCCCTGCACCAGTGAACAGCAGAGCCCGGGTAGTGGCTCTTGCTGCTACAGAGGATATATGGTTTCTGTTTTGCTTCTGTAAAGCGCAGGTTGAAGTCAGTAAATATTGTAATAACAATTTATTTTAATGTGTAAGAGCAAATGGGTTGAAGGACTAAACAATAAGTAATTATAGATTAGCTTGTTTAATGCTTTATTGTTGCTGTTTCCAGGAATACCTTTTGTTAAGACAGGAAATCAGTTCAAGGTTTTCCTTGAGGATGGCGGAGCAGGGAGGAGACGAAGGCCAGCATTTGTTTTAAATTTAGGGATTCGGTGTTATTTTGTGACTCTGTGGATATTGTTAGCTTTGGAACAGTAGTGAACCTGCATCTGTTTAGCATGAGTGTACATCAGATCATTTTAATAGTGGAATGCCTAGGAAATGTTCTGTGTTTTCCTTAATATATGTATCTATTTCACTTAAAAGAGAAAACTTGCATCTGTTTGCAAGAACCTATATGGGTGACTCAGAAAATGAAAGGCTGCTTTTAACTTCACTGCTCAGTTTTGCAAGGTTTAAACTACTAAACTACTCTAGCACATTTAAATTGAGTACGTACTTACCTTTAAGCATATGGATAATCTCCCCAACTCTTGAAATATATTTACGTATTCTTTGAATACATTTGAGTCACCTGASGCCTAGCTGCATCAGACTTTGGACT